TACAAGGTTCCTCATAAGTATTGTTGCGTTAGTAGAGGGAAACAAGTTAGTCGTCACGGGATGCCTGGCAGATATGAAACATCGAATTTTTTTAAATAAAAATGACTGAAAACTGCAAGGAATATGAAGGAAATAAACGTTGAAAAATTAATACAATGAATTCTTATATTYTAATTGCTATAATTGTACGAACATATTAGGATCCTTGTATTAGGTCTTTATGCTTTTAACCAGTGATGACGGTGATAACGTGATAGGGGGGGGGGAAATCGGGACAACTGCCCCGGGCCTCCCGATTTTAAAATTATAATTAAGGCCCCGCAGTTCTTAAATGAAATTTTATACTGTTCAGAGATTAGTTAGTTTGAATAATATGTAATGTGACTGTTATTTATTTTGCCCGGGGCCCCGCAAATCCTAGCACCGTCCCTGCTTTTAACCAAACGAAAATGATAAAATAACATATGATGCAAATTCAAATATCTAGGGTCATATCTAAGAGTCATTCGTTTTTATAAAAAAATCACTCTATCAGAAATTGAGTGATTATCCTAGTGTTGTAAAAATTTAAGCTTCAGACGTATTTGAGCTTACAATCAATTTTTTTTTATCATCAGTTCATCACTAACAACAATTTACCAAGAACCTTGTACCTGTAACATTTAATTGACAGAACAATTTTTTTTTTATCAACATAAATCAATTAGGAATAATTGAAAATTGCTTATGCCTATAAAATATAAATAGCTTAGCATGAGTAAAAATGTTTTGAAAATCGTGTGCTGTATTTCTAAAATTGAATTTTTTAAACAAATTGCTATAAAATCAATTATTAATTTCTTCTTCACAAYTCATGAAATTATCCATTTTTCAATGCTTCGATAATACATTTGAAATAATAAGATAAACACTTAAGTGTTTTACATGTTTTTAAATTATTAAAATTATAAAATAATTGTTACATATAATGTTTACATAGATTTTATTTTTTATTTTTTATCTTTGCTTATTCTAAAAAACTAACTTAAATTAACTTAATTTTATTTTATACTCTTTTAATCGTTAATAGAAAATACCAAATAGGATAACATAAATAATAAGTATATAACACAGTTGAATTCAAGACAATCAAAATGTTTATTATAATAAAAATTAAACAGTAATCTCAAAATATTATGAAATATTAGTTATTTCAGTACTTATGTAATTAGGTAGGGAGGGACTTAAAAAGTTAAAATCTATTATTTTATGAAAATAAATTACACTGTCTTTTCATAGGTACATGTAGTATATGTTAGTGACTTATTTGATTTCATGAAAGTTAGAATTTTTTTCACTATTTAGTATTTAATGCAATTAAAATTCATTATTTAATATTTTTTTTATTATTTTAGTTAATGGAAATGTTGACGACGAACATATACTTGAAGCACTATAATCATCAGCGTTTAAAGAAAATACCATTGCACCTCCTAAACCTAAAGTATTAACAAATTCTGCTTTGACTGATAAACTTAGTTGATTATCATAAGATATCCAGTCATCTTTATAATATGAATAAGGCGTCTGGGTGTCATCGTCAAAAACAGTTGAAACATATTCATGTGACACGAACTCGCACACTTCTGGAAAAGTTACAAATCCGTCTTTGCCGATACCAGGACCAGAACTTGGTGAATAAAAATCATGAACTTCTTCATTTATTAATCTAAAATTAAATATTTTAATAGTCATAGATTATTAAAATTATTTAAACTTACTTAAAAGAACGTCCATATGCAGCCATGCCAAGCAAAATCTTATTTTTAGGAACACCCATTGAAATATAATATAATATAGAAGAGTTAACATCTAAATCCTTTAAGTTCCCAGTTTCTTGTAGCGAAGAAAACAAAGGTGAATTTGGCCCAGTTAATGGGAAAGACCAGTGGTAATAATAATAACCATACGACATAACATTAATGAAGTCAAGATAACTAAAAAAAAAAACATGCGCATCATTAGAAAGATGTATTATTTAAAAATAATACTATAATAGCCATTATTTACTTTGTTAAGGAATTGATTTCATAAGATTGTTTGATAATATTAATAGGAGCAGCAACTGCTGCGGTTAAAACAGAGTCAGGTAAATGGTAACGTAAAAATTCTAATAACTTAGAAAATCCATATTTTTCTTCTAAATTGAATAATGGCCACGATGGAAATTCCCAGTCAATATTAATACCATCCAAGTGAAATTCGTTGACAACTGACACGACACTATTGACAAATCTAAAAAAAAATTATCTTAATTAATATAAAAATTATTAATAGCCAACTAAAAATTAACAACACATTTGAAATATATTGTGTAATATAATACCTACATGTCTATGTTTATGTTGGTCAACAAGTATAAAACCAATTAAACAGATTAACTTATCAAAACCTAGGTACCTAAACAATATAAAATATGTATAATATAATACATACTTGTTTAAGTTCTCTACATTTGCAACAACGCTAGGAAAACCTTCATTTGACGGTGAACCATTGGAGAAATGTATGATAGATAGTAATACTTTTAAATTTGGGTTTCTTTCGCGTAAGTTCACTATCTGTCTTAAAATCTGAAAACATAAAATTTGATTTATACTTAATCACTAGCAAAAATTGTCTTTTGTTTATAAAATATTATACACATATTAACTATTTTTTTTTAACATACAAGAATAATAACAACAACAGTCAACATAATAAGATAGTTTACAATTTATTATTTTAATTCTAGTGATTCAAAAAATCATATCAACACAGCTTATTATACTTGTACATTGGGTATTATATAATATATAATATATATATATTATATATATATGCTAAACCATATGACATGGAATGGAGATCCRGAATAATATAAAGATATACTCATTGAAAAAATTGCCAAAAGAAACATGCTTGACTTCATATTTAATTTCTTTAATCATCATAGCTTTCAATTAAAAATTGTTTAAGCTATATAGAATGTGGTCTCACAAGTCAGTAATTCAAACAATATTATATTAAAATTAAATTTGTAAGATTAAATTGGAAAAAACTAAAAAGGTTTAGTTATACAATTATTAACTAAATCAAACAAAAGATATTTTGAATTGTTATTAGTGGAGGTCAAATGATTTTGTCAGAGGGATATGGCTAACTTTAACATTCATAACGTAATTATTAAAAATACAATATTTAAGGCTATCAGATATTAAACATTGATCAAATTTCATGGRGGTTAGATCTATCTCCCTTATTCCCACCATTTGACCGTCACTGCTTATTACGTATTACTTAATTACCTACATAATAAAAATCTTAGGTACCTGCATATCAAATGAACTTCTGAAATAAACACTGTTACTTTGAACTACTGCAGACGCCACAATTAAATGAGTACATATAGTAGCATCAATATAAGCAGGTTGAAGAAATTTATTAGTATTATCAAATGGTATACTATAATAACAAGCCAAATTATATGACTTAACCATTTTTTTGCTGCGAATAGTGTTGTCATTAGCAGTCCCGTGTGTTGTATAATTTGATTTAGCAACATATGCAGCGATATCCAAATCTGAAATGTGTTCAACAAAATTATCATACAAATACAGAAAATATGAATGCAAATACCAACATTTTATATAGAAATTCTGCTTATTCTGGTAAATAAATATTAAATAAAATAAAATAACTTCCTATAAATAAAGACGTAGATTATAAAATATTATTATAAATATTAATTTTAAGTACCTAAAAGAAGAAAAATGTCTGTTAAGAACTCAAAGTATTAAATAACTTCTAAAATTCCCAGTTTTATCTCTAATTTTATTTTATTTTTTWATATCAATAGAACTTATTGGTGTTAATTTTGTTTTATAACTGTACATTTGAAAATTAAATGTATCCAACATAGGGTTGGGTTTTAGTTATTTTGATTTTGCTATCTTCTTAAATATGTAATTGAAAGAATAAGCTGATTCCAAGGCAAAAAAAAAAAATGTAGAATCACTATAATTAACAATTTTTTGACATAGAACTCTTGATTCCAAGTTCACATATTAATACTACATATAATTCTAAGGACTTTGGCTAGTATTAACTAATATTATTAAATAGCATTCCAATATATAGGTATATGACTTTTAAATAGTAAAATACATTTTATTTTTAAACAATTATAAACTTGATGAACGGATTGATAAAAATATTGTATAAAATGAACGAATGAACCAATATCTCATATAGGTAACCAATAATCAATATTAATTCAAATGTTAACTATAAAACGATGAATTGTCTTTGTGTTGTTTAGACTAATTATTGTTGTATACCTAAAACAATAGTCCGGAAAATAACATATTGTCATCAAAGGTGGCGAACACAAATTAATGGTACCAAATTAGATTCGTATTATAAACGGGTTTTAAGCGACATAATTTATTATTACAACTATTTTTATTTGTATTTTTTTTTCAGTATATCATCTAACATCTAAAATGTATACCACATAACATATATTAAAATCGTCTAATCTTAATCAAACATTCTAGCCCGATCTGTGACCATGATATAATATTAATATGGTTGGTTAAATTGTTAACTGTTTAGGTATAGTTTCTACTTACGTTGCTGGGTTGGGACGACCTGAGAAGAATTTTGTTTTATTGAATTCAACGGAAATGGTRCGGCCATGGTCTCCGATTTGGCCACTTCTGGACGGCTGGCGAGGGCGGCACATATGCAAACGGCAATCACGAATACCTTGTAATAGAAAAAAAATTTTAATTTGTTATAACAATAATAATGATTATATAATAATATAGTGTTTTTCAAACAAATTTGAATTACTAATCGACAAAAATATTAAATAAAACAAATGCGCGTCGATTAGATGGTAGGAAATTATTTTTTTTCTCATTTCTATTTCGATTGTCCAGATTGTTGAGTAACGTGGTACTATATTGTACCAACGACTATTCCTTCAGACATTATACTGAACAATAATTATTTTTTAATTGAAAACAATCAAGCATATTTAATGATGATTTTTTCTCAGACAAAACAATATTTTTGATTTGATGTTTCTGGTTGAATGTGGTTATTCAAATGTTGATATAATTTAATTAAAAATTAAACCTTACCTAATACCTAACCTTCCAAACTAATGAATAAAGAAATTATGGATTCCTAATTCATTAAACTCCATTTTTGAATAATTTAATATGACAACAACCAACTGTTTAAAATCTAAAATACAGTTCCCACAGTTCTTATGGAATTTCATAACCATGGATTATGCCATAGAGCTCCGTAATATTTAGATGATYAACGATTTTTATAAAGAGGTCATAACCTCGTGGTTTATAAAAATCCCCCAATCTTGATAAATTCATTATTTTATCATCGTCCGTTTATACGTAACATTGTTTTAACATGCATGTCGATTCATTGCCCTCGTAGTGTGGGCTGATGTATTACCAATGATAYGTAAAAAGTGCCTATTGAACATCCTGGTGTGCGCATTTAAGTCTTATAAAATACCTGTTATAGTTAACTCGTTTATGTATTCGTATGGGTAGGAAAAAATATCTAAATATATACCTTATGTTAAATTAAAAAAATTGTGTCATTATATTTTCCTACTGTACAATGTGTAAATTATGCTCATTCGCACGTGGTCTTCGTTATTACCAAAAACCTTGGAGTTATTGATAGTATAAAAGTATTTTTAAAGAAAAAAAATAGATAAATTTTAATTTTTAAATAATTTTTAATTGAAATGACTTGTGACTTATACACTTAATAAGTATAATAATAATGATAAATCTAGTTTATACTGTTTATTGGATAGGTACTCACTGTCATGGCGGTTCTTGATGACGATCGACCGGCGTAATTCTTCATGTGGTGTTCAACTGGTGACCGAGTCGTCGAGTCGTGGCAGGGGTATGACACCGTATGAATTGTCGATTGTCATCTTGGCCACGGTATTCTGTGGCTTGGGAGGGGGATGGTAGCATACGTGTCATAGTGAATGGCAAACAAGCCAATCCTGCCAACATGATATAACTTTTTCGTAATACGGTTAAACAAGGGTCATGGTCAGGGGGGTGTAACTCCCATACGACGGAACTGGTACACTCTGATGACAGTCTGTGAGATAAACTCTGGGAGCGCTAGTGATGGCGTTCAGTCAAGCGCATTGCCAACATACCAAAAAACCTAAGACTCCCAGACGTAGGTATTACTGATAATAGTAAACATAACCTCAAATTAAAATATTCTAGAGGCTTTTGAATTTTTTTAACGGTGACAAATTTATCACTTTTGCGTTCGTCGTTTGTGCTGTGTGCTAAAAATATCAGGTCTGGTTGTTCTTTGAACTTATTGAAATATCGCGTGTATTGTTTGTATTCTGTGCATTGATTTATTATTTGTTTGTATAAATTAATAATAAATATTTGTTTTAATTAAAATGCCTTCTACTGTGTGTGATGTTATAAATTGTAACTCCACGTACACTGATAAAGTAACACGACGGCATCGTTTAATTTTAATTTAACGTTTGGGTTACAGAGGTCTGGAAACAATAAGTTATTGAACAAGACTGTTGATGATGTTTATAAATCTTATGTCATGTGTGACAAAMATTTTGAACCATGTTATAAAAGTTTGGGATTACATAGGCTGAATAAAAATGCTATGCCAATATTAAATTTACCAGGTAAAGACACTTTTTTTTTATTTTTTATTTTATATATATTATTATATCATTTAATAACTTAAAATATACTTGTTTTTTTTCATAGAAATTATATATGTTGTTAGTGGGTCACAYAATATATTGTAAACAACATCTATTCTGTATGAAATCAACTACTTGTAAATTAACCAATCTTTGATTTCAATTTTAATTGGTTGATTTGTATTAGTTAATTTAGAAAATTTGATATCCAAATATAAGATCTTCGTACGCTGATGTCAATAATTGGTTTGTTTTTGATCTCAAATATAAATATTGTATGATGTAGTTTTTCGTTTGCTAAGTTAAATTGTAGTCTCAGAAATACGTATTATGTACTAGCAACCTAAATTGTGATGTTTATGATGAGTATCTGTTTTTTGTTAAATAAAGAAGCATGTCTAAAAAAATTGCTTGAAACTGTAGTTATTGTATGTGTTTATTAATGTATTAATGGATGTTTGATTTATAAATTGCTTGTTCATTTYACTTTACTTATTAATATTACGTTTCAACTTTCAGGTATGATTGAGATGTTCAACGTCGACAATGAGAGTGACTCAGCRAATGCAGTATGTACAGAGGCGCAAATCTAGGGGTGCAGGGGGGCAACTGCCCCCTTAATTTGGTAGGTAGGTGGTCAATTGATTGATACTCGATGGTCAATTTTCAGACATTACAATACAATAAGCATACATYAATACACTTATATTATATTAAATTTTTATTTGATACATTTTAATATTATTATTTACTTATTACTTGAATACTTTTGTTTTGCCCCCCATAATTTGAATAGTTTGCGCCTCTAGTATGTATGATGAATGTATCTACAGTTTCTTCTGTCATGGACATCAGTGTCAACGAAGGTAACTATTAAGTGATTTTGTTTAACTGTAAATATTAAGTTCATTTTACTTTGATGATTGGTACTTCAATTTTATAATTTATGTATTATTGAAATAGTCAATGTCGACAATGAGAATGACTCAGTAAACGCAGTATGTATGATGAATGAATATGTATCTACAGTTTCTTCTGTCATGGACATCATCAGTGTAAAAGAAAGTAACTATAACCTTTTTTTGTATATTTGTTAAGAATTGAAATTGAGTTTATATAACTGCAATCAAGTATAACATAATGTCTTGATTATTTATTTGGGGAGACAAATTATTTTTTTCTTTCAAAAACTTGTTCTATTCATACAAAGTAATAGTAGGTATAGTGAAATTGAACATAATATAATTTCAAATTTTAAATCTTGTTAATATTCTACTGAAAGTAATAATATGATATTTTGTGATAAAAAKTCATTTGTTTCCCAATTAATGTTACAATTCCTACTTTCTTAAATGTTAATACTGGTAGAAGCAGACAGTTAATTATATATTCTAATAAAACATTATTAATTATTAACTTTTTATCATTTTCAAGGTGTGGACCAAAATGAAAGTACTCCTTTGCTGCCAAGGATATTGTTTAACATGAAAAAAACCGTTAAAGCTTATTAAAAGACATTAACATTCAATGAAGAGCACAGTTGACACTTCGCAAAGCTCTTTTATACAATTCTGTGAGAGTGTACAAACGTCAAAATTTAATACTAAAGAAACAATATTCAGATGATAAACAGAGAATTAAAATTGCCGATACATACATAAACTCAAATGCAAACTCTTTAAATGGACTAAATCCGTTTACACAGAATTTTATTGAATCCCAAATGCGGATACAACCCCAGAAGATAAAGCACTTGTGTGCATGGTTCGAGGTATCAGAAAAAAATTTAAACAGTCAGTCGCATTTTACCTCACTACCAGCAACACGAATGGTCCAAAGTTTGCCAACATTATCAAAGAAGTGATAGAAGCTTTACAATCAACTGGTATTACCGTCATATTTACTGTATGTGACTAAGCACCTACTAATGTGGCTGCGTAAATAGATTACGTCAAGAAACAAACACTAAATATACGAAGAAAGAAAAAGAAAMCCGTCTTTTTGGTTTTGAAATAAATGATAAGGAAATCATTCCTCTATTTGATGTTCCAAATCTTTTGAAAGGTCTTAGAAACAACCTTATAACAAAAGATCTAAATTTTGTTTACGACAACAGCCAAAAAACAGGCTTCTTGGAAGCACATAACTCAGTTTTATGAGTTTGATAAAGATCAGAGCACAGAAGGAGATCGTTTAGTACCCAAACTTACTGATACTCATGTATATGAAGAAAAAATTAAGAAAATGAAAGTGTCACATGCTGCGCAGGTATTTAGTCAACGAGTCGGTGCAATAATGAAGAGGATTGCTGTTGTGCAAACCGAGTGAGTTAATAACAAAATATTACAAAATCTTAACAGACCTTTTTTTTGTTAATTTTATTGTACATCTAAATTGCTTTTATTTTTTACAGGTATTGATCGTGAAGCTACAGACACTGGTCAGTTGTGCTTATTTGTTRACAACCTGTTTGGTAGTGCAAATGGAAATGTCATAAAACCAACACCTGGCAAGGATCTTCGTAGCGCAGTCACATTGACCTCTCCTCACTGGTATTTTGGATAAAAGCTTTAGACGTTCTACGAAGTATGAAATATGAAGCAACAAAAAAATTCCATCAATTGCCAACTGGATAACTACCATTCAAGGACTTCAGCTAATTTGTAAGCGACATCTAAAGGCAGGTTTCAAATACATTCTTCTAAAAATTTCAATCAAGACCCCATAGAAATTTTTTTTGGATCAATTAGAAGTCACGGATTAAGAAACATCAACCCAACAGCTGCAAATTTTATTTCTTCATTTAAATCTCTAGTGATCAATAATTTTACTCTACTCATTCTGTTGGTGCAAATTGTGAAGTCGATGATAGTGATGGCATTTTGGACAACTTGAAAGCTTTTTTATTCAATGAAATCCCCTTAAATGAAGAAAATGAAGATAAAGAAAATTTCTCTGCTCAAAATGATGCTTTGACTACATTCTCTACATTAGAACAAACTGGAAGTTTAATTAACTCTGGCAGTAGAGCATACGTCAGCGGCTGGATTATAAAAAAAATTTAAAAAAATTGTACAGTTAGCATTTCAAAATTCTCAACATCGAAAATCCTAAAGGAGAATTTCATTATTCAAGCTCGCCAATACATAGATTGTAATTTATTATATCCTGACCAAGATACCATAGATTTATATAGTTTCATTATACAGCTTTTTAATTAAAATTTTCATAAATTTGTATTTAAAAATAATGGTTTTAATGAGTTTCTCTCATTAATTTCAAAATGTGCTCCTATTGAAAATTTTAAATGTTCAAATCATGATTTAAGTAATATGTTCCTTATAACTGCTTGTAAACTTTTAACCTACAGTTATATTAATAACATCAATAGAATTTTAAGCAAAGGAGAAAAATCAAATACATTGGATCCAATTAAACAATCTGCTAGTTTGTATAGTATAGTTGTATAGATCAAAGTATTATTCTAATCAAAGCGTCTTTCGATGTGCCCCTGAAAAATGTAAATCTGTCATTTTCACTCGATGTAGATATTTAAACAATTTTAGCACATGTATTAATAATTAAGTCATCCCCTTTGTACCTTGCATTACCTATTTAGGCATCACTCTCGACCCCAAATTGCCCTGGGTACCACATATTTTATCACTCACGGCTTTTGTTTTTCGGTGGTCCAACTTCCTTGGATCTGTAACAAGTAGTTGGTGGGGTTCTCACCCTTCAAATCTATTATCTATATATATGTTTATTATAAGCTCCAAACTCGATTATGGATGCTTTCTTTTTGGGCCAGCTTCTATTTTTAATTGGAAAAAAAAATTAATGAACTCCAAACCTCATGCCATAGAACTAAGCYACATATTTTGTGAGTGTCATAGRCATAAATTTAATCCAATAAAGTTAATTATTAATTAAAATATTAATAAAATTAATAACTAAAATGAAATACAATTGTGTCACTATCTTTCCCCCAAAAAATTTACTAAAGGTTGTTTTTTGTAACGTTGTTAATTGTTATTGGTTTTAATTTAAGGCTGTGAATTATTCATAACTATTTATTATTGYTTTCGCATTATTCATTTCGCGTTTTTGCAATATTCATAAAAAATTATTGTGATTCATTAGGTTAAAACAATTGACACTATTTAAATTCCCAAAAGAAAACCAATTATCGGCTTCTATACTTGAGAAGTAAAGAGATTGTGTTCTATCAGAGAAAATGATACAAATTCCAATTGGGAAACCAACAATTCACTACAGTCTTCAGGGTGATGTAAAGAAAT